CTTGTGTTTTTGATCAAAACTGACCTTAACAGAGTTCGCTGATCTCACGAAGCAAATTTGGTCAGCCGAGAAGTGATGCCACCCTCGGTCTCGTCAATGTTCCATGCGGATGGATCCGCATCACCGCCACGGCAACTTGAGAGATTGCAATAGCGTCCTCTGTTTGCAAAGCTCCGGTTAGCTTGATCGCTATCGATTTCGCAGTCTTAAGGAGGCGACTGCTATGCCCTTTAGGATATCGTTTCGGCACGGTGTAGAAAACGCTGAGAGCTATCTGTGTCAACAGACGCTTGGTCGTATGTCCTAGGTACTTTGCACCACAAGTTTAACTAAATTGATATATCACGTACAATTCGGACTTGGCCGGTAATACATCTTTAAAGCGCTGAGCAATAAATACAGTGGTCTTACCAAGAACATGGGGCGTTGCGGCTGGATTGATCCTTGTAACTGTAGCAGAAAGCCTTCTATTCATCATTCTATGAGCTAAATCCTCGCTTTGCATTCCCATAAGGTGAAGATTAGTGCACAGCTGTTCGGCCCTAATCGATCAGACGCCTGCGCACAGATGATCATGAGAAGGGGCTAAAGTTTAGTCAGTGGGATGCAGTCGGTCCACAGTATCAACCAATAGGTACGTTAATAGTTCGCAGACCGTTCGATTGCATGTAGGTTTCCTGACACGTGTTCCATCTTTACAAGTCACTGGAGAGTCTGTCCCTACAATAGTCTGCGAAGGCCGAATGATGCGCGCCGACATGACGCGTCTATTTAAAATGTTAGTGGTGAGCGGGTCAGGGGATGTGCTTTCACATCCCAGCTAGCCCGAGCAACAAACCTCTCCTACTGACGAACACTTTCATGACGGACTGTGTACGTGTTCTGGCAAATGTTACCCATACGTCCGTGGCGTAGGTGTAAAGTTTTCGACGGATGCTTCCATGTTCCTTAACGACTATTGCAGTTTTGGGGTGGGAAACGTCTAATATCTGTTTGCTTCTGTTATGGTCCCAGTGCTCAAAATGACGGAGTTTTACTTTAAAGGGAAAAGCGGTCCAGATTGAGATTGTGAGTTGCGATCCAGTCACTCAGGTCGTGTTCCAAAATGAACCCATAATTAATCATTAATCTTTGTGACAAGCGTTGCCTTCGACTCTCTGGCCTAGGAATAAATGCGTTAGGCAATATTCTTCGTGTAGTTTGTTGGAGGCTAGGATTCTCTTTTTTCTACCTGTGGAATGCAACTAGGCGTGAAACTGGTCCAGAATTGCAGTCTTGTGTTCTGGTAGCACAAAACATTTGCTTGGAGTTACCACATTATTGTCAGATAATATGGTCCAAATGCTATTTTCTAAAGAGAGACTATGGGCCTCGGTAACCCTTCATCTTCAGGAGGAAGATTTGGACCAGTAATTACTCAGGGCCCAAAGACGGATGCTGCAGAGTGCAGCTATTAAAGTGTTATTGTGATGTACACAATAGAATACGAAAGCACAATACTGGGGGAAATGTCGAGCCAATAATATGCAGTGCAGGTGAGACACGGCTTGACTTCTTTTAGAGATGAACCACGCGCATACAACGCAAGGCTCCTCAATGGCACTAATACAATGATGAACCAGTGAGGCATACGCTGACCGTGGGCGATTCACATTTCCTAGCCTAAATTACTGTACTCAAGTGCATATTTCGTCGCGTTGCAATCCGGGAACAAAGCCATCTTACATCTTATTTGCCCCACGCTGTGGAATTATTTCATAACGTTTGGGAAAACGCCCCACCAGAAAGGTCTTCTAACGGAGGGTAGAGAAGCAAGCTAAGCAAGAAAGACTATCTGGCGACATCAGTTCCATTACAGCACCGCACGTTCATATCTTCGGATGTATTATATGAATGGCGTAGTCGATCACAAATCTACGTGTTAAAAGCCGCAAACGATGTTAGCGCTATATATCCGCAGTAAGGTAAGAAACTGGAAGCTTTGCTGACTAAAGAGGCTCCAACAAGCGCCTTTGTGACTATGGCTTCGAACAGAAAAATTGCCATTATTCCTGAACACACTTCTAGAACGAAGTTCAGGTCAAGCGCGGATTGTCGTTGGCAAACCAGCGCTGCAAGTCCTCACGAAGGAACATAGTATTCCTAGTAGGAATCATATACACGTCGGTAAACCTAGTTTTAAGTGGATTATACAAATAATTTCCTGGGACCAGTTGCCACTGGGATGTCGGTTATTTCACCCTTTAACGGTGTTTGCAGACTTTAAAATGATATCCAGCGGATGGTGGCCAATTGTACATAAAACAGGGAGGAGTGGTTACATTTCCTGGTTTCTTAGTGCGTACCTCTCTGCATGAAGTGGTTTTGGTCGAGGTTGTAAAATGTTACTTAGAAGTGACGCTGAACGAAAATTGTGCCATCCAACCCAGTGACAGATCTACTGAGACTGCGTGTTGTCAGTACTCAAAGAAATACTAGAACGTCACCTACTCCACTGTTGGAGGATCTGCTGTTTTAGGTGATGGACGTTCGTAGACGGCATGTTGCGCATACGTGGTAGTATTTCGTCGATTATTCAACAAGTATCCGAACAATCATGCCTTCCCAAGTTCTTGACCTACACAAAGTAGATGTCACTGCATGAGAATTAGTGAGTCAAGAAGGATAATTATCCGTAAATAAAAGTTGTTCCTCACCTAGACGCCATCAAAGCAACGGAGAGAACTGCTACTCAAACAGCTAAACATTTTTCATTCACTAAAAGAGTTAATCCAGATAACTTATCATACAATAAACGTTAGGAAACCAGATTAATAAACCTAAATGGTGCTAGCTAGACACAACTACTTCCCTCTGGAAGAAGTGTCATCCTTTGCTGGAGCAAAATCAATGTCCCTGCCAACTAGTAGAAGGAATCAAAACCGTTTTCATGCTCATTATTCGCTAGCCTTGCTATATGCACCTAATGTTACGTAGTCTGTTTCACAGCTTGGCCCATATGCAACTACAGCTCTCAGTAGAACGCGGCATTCGGATTGTTGAACAATACAGCGAAACACGCCATATCCGCAGTATGCAAATTATATTCCGACTAGTAACGAATGTAGTCTCAAAACAGTTCCATTAATAATTAGCTTGGCGAACACGCGCTGATGCTGGTGAACCTAAGCGCTAAGAAACACGTGAATACAGTTCAATCCATAAATGGCTTGGCACTGACTTTAGTAAGACCAGGCAGTCTATCGGAATACTGATAGCTCCGGTGGACTAACCAGTCGTTCATTTGTTCGCCGCACTGATGATTCCACATCGCATGGTGGTGGAACGTATGCCACTAAACCGCCAAGCTTGGTGAATAGATGAACAGCTAAGCTACAGTCTATCCCTGTAAGTGCAGCAGCGATTTAGCGGTCGTCTGTGGAATGCCATTCCACCCATCGTCTGCACCAGACATTGTCTCCACGACTGTCACGCCGTTCACAATAGTATCTTCAAAGAAGACCCCGTACCTGCAAAAGGAAATATCGGACGCAGGCATGCGCTTGCCGATGACACAATGTACCCTTACAACCGGAAGACTTTTTCGATGCTTCCTCGCACTGGGGCATGTCAATGAGGTGAATCTGCCTGTAAAGCAATCTATCCTGGCAATACGTTTCTAACGGAAGGAATGCTCGAATGTCTAACAATTGACTTGGGCTATGCGTGTCTGTCATTTGTTGGAATGCCGTAGAACGCCTGAATGCTGCCATCGTAATACTAGTGATGTTACGTGACAAGAACTAACACAAACGCATTGTGCTGGATTCCGTTATCGTTAGTGAACAAGTAATCATTACTCAGGGATGTATGCAATATTTGTTTTGGGGCTACAGTGCAACCGATTGTGCAAACGTGCGCGTAAACTAGAATTTCAAATTCGTTAACGCGAGCGGCTTTTCTCTAAACAACGTGATCACTGAAACATATCTGCTGCCCACTCTCAACAGCTGACACTTGTAGATACTTTAGAAAGCTTAGCATTGTATTTGTTTTTCAAACCCAAAGCGCTCAAATAACTCCTGTTTGCGAATAGCTGCAACGGGCGATTGAAATGTGCGCCGTTGGCAAGACACTTTGCACGGTTGCCTACGTTTGGACGCGCGCAACGGACAGTAAGGTGACTACTGTGAATACTGCGTCTCACAGGTCGGTCAAGTTCACTTCTGGCAGATCACAGCGAGTTTAAGTAAGCATTTGGGCCTGACTCTATCCATCACATAACCTTTCCGTCAACTTGTATGCTATTCACTAATGATACTGCAAAGCAGTGACCACCCTGTTCGAACAGGTTCGGAAGGAAGAAGCCATCCAACTAACTGAAGTGAAACGATCATATTGCCAGTATACAAGAAAGGCATTCACAATGACTGTGTTAACAACAGGATTATTAGCCTACATTGATCCAGTAATAACTTTGTTACTTCATGAAGTCAGAAAAAATTAGTCAGGTACTTTGCGACATTCGCTGAAGTACTGAATGGCTATTTCCTTGGTGACTAGCATTCATTCCGTCTTAAGGTAGGTTGTAATATGAAATAACTTCTGAATGTTCCGCGTTCCCTTAAACAACACTGACTAATGGGATGCCTTCTTGTATAATTTCGTTATTCTATTGTACTGGTCGAATTGCAAATCATTGGCTTTCAGTGAGGAGGCATCCGGAATGAACGTTTGTCCGCTAAATGCTAGCTTGAGCTAACGTTGACCCTAGTTCGTGTAAATAGGGGCTACACCTTAGGTGGCAAGCGCTGTGGACTCACTGGTATGAATTATGAAAACACCACATCAGGATTAGCATATTTCCGGTTTAGATGTAGTAAAAGCGCACCATCTGACATTCATGGCTATATTTCTTATGTTCATCTTCTGATGTCGCGACTGACGGAAGGGGTCGATTCGTACTATGTATTGAAAGACAGTTTTTATGCAACATAGTATATAGTCAGTCACGCAGTTGGCACCTCTATAACCTACTTTTCTACCGTAGGTATCTCCAAGATTCGAGCGCGGTTGCAACCTACCCTTTTGGTTTCGGGACGAGATGAATACAGCCAAGAAGAACTGTCTTCAAAGTCCAACACAGAAAGGTCCAAGCCGAAAAGACTCAACTATTGGTATCCTGTCAACTGTAGCCTGCGGAATACTGCAAAAGCAGGCTGAGAGTAAAGCGCTTGTATAAACATCAGACCTGAGCGATGCAGTGTGACTTCCGTGAGCAGGTTCCAGTCTGACCGTATGAAATTTGTCCAAAAATATGTGTTTATCTGACAAGCATGCGCCAGCAGACAATATAGCAGTGCATTTCGGTGAATGGACAGTATTTCAGGTGGTTTGAGGTGTGAACTGAAGTGCGGTGTGTAATCGAGTGAAAAAGGCGGCACACACGCGATTAAAACAAACAGTCTAGAGGGAGCTGAATGCAACTAGTTGTTTTCCATGAACATAACCAATTCGATGTTCTAGGATGTCAGACAATAAAGGCAGAATTTTCGCATGCCGTATCTTCAAGCATCCAGCGAAAATCTACTCAGGAGTTGGTTCTTCATTTGGTGCTTCCTTTTGCGGCTGTGGTGTGTCCGGAGCTTCTGTGCTGTAGCCATTCTTTTCGCCCTCATGCATGACCTTAACTAAAGGGCTGGTGTCTGTAATGGTCAGACGTCGGATGGCGTCCTTCTTTCTGAAGGCCAGTTCCCGTGCTACCTCATCGAAAGAACGATTTCGGGTTTCCGGCATGAAGAAGTAGAAGAACACCCAACAGACTATCACGGTCACCAGAAATGGCAGGAAGGAGTAGCCTTTGATTGCTTTCTGAAAAATAGAGACAGAGTGTTACGTTAATGGAAAGACCTAAAACAGCACTTGCCGAACTTTCTCCATACTACACGAGTGAAACAGAAGGGAGACTATGATTTCCTCTTCAGGCCAGGTACATTGTGGGGGCGGCAACAAAGCCGGAAACATCAAACAAATCTGAGCTCCATGAGGACATTGACAATAAAATTTACCCGTTATATTGCGTGATGATGCATACAAGTGAAAACCCGTGGCGGAGCTGTACACTTTCGGGCCCGTCCCCATGTTGCGGATTGGGGAATGCTTTGCTTGTGGAGGTGACCGCTGCTTTGCAGGCGAGCTGAATAAGCTGAGGAGGACAATCAGCGGCGGCGTCTCAGAGCGTAGGGAGTATTGGGTTTGTCACTTAGTTTCCCATCAAATACCACATGAGCTAATACGGCGCTGTGTCAACGCCAACTTGATAGGCTACAGGGTCACTGACCACTCATGCCTTTAACTGGGAGTGTGTATCTAACGGAGAGCGGATGAACTACCGTGATGGCGACTGGCTTCTCTTTGGACTGCAACCGAACACAAAGGAGACGCTTATGACACCTGGCTGTCAACGGTCTTCGTATTCGCCCCGCTGTCTTTCGTGGCGTACCCGCTTTATTGCCCACCATCAAGATAGTACAAAAGTGGGCAGTAAAGCGGGGTGGGCAATTCACTGACGTTGCGATTCTTCCAACACAGAAATAACCAATGAATTATTGTGCAGTATATCACTTGAACTGTAACGTGCTATGATGGATACAATCCATACTTGTAACTAAAGCCTAAACATGACGTTTATGCAGAAGAGGATGACCTATTATTTAAAAGTTAACCTAAAGCATTTTATCTAGATAGCTATCGAAAATGACCGTAGTGCATATTTTACCGATAAAAGAATCTGTCAGTTGAAAATTATTTTGATCAGCTACGCCAGTCAATTTTGCACTGATAATGTCTAATTTGAACAAGAAGTCGTTGCTTAGCCCATGCATAAGTCCGTAACCATACAGATCATTCACACAGTTCTTTACGCTTGGATACGACACACGCTGATTGCTGTTACTCACGGAGGCATCCGGCAAGTCATCCCATGTATCCTTGTCTCCTTGCTGTTCCTGTCGGTTCTCTAAAATTTTACTAACCATTTCATATTCAACAGTTGTCAGATCTGACGTATATTCTACATCGTTGTCAATGGCGACAAAATCTTCTGCATTGATAACTGGGATTGCGCAAGCGATGACGTCCTCATCAGAAAGTGCATCGGATGGCAGTGAACTGAAACCAGCATACCGAAAGCAAGCTTTTATTGTTGTACCGGTAATCTGTTTCCAAGTTTTTAAAGCGGACTGGATTGTATCGAGCACAGAAATCGTGGCGCTGGCATCCACCACCGAGGATGAGTTAGGCGACACTTCGTTTCCGGTGTGATAAAAAAGGTCGGTCCACAATTTCTTTTCTGTAACAGATGTTCACATTCACACTCACACCTTAGTACATGGATTGAAGAATGCTGGTAGTGTTTAACAATAGAAATTCCATTTGTATCTTTTTCAAGCATTCTAACTGTGGACGCACTGTGCAATTATCCATGAGCAACCTAATTTTTCGGCCACTTTAGCTTACCTCCTTGTCCCATTCAAGGAAGCACTCGGTGAAAACAGGTTTGTTTTCCACGCATGTTTGTTAGCTCTGTAAGTTACGGAAAGTTTGTCCACCTTCATGCCGTTGAAACATTATGGACTCCTTCCATTTTTCCAATCAAAACTAGTTTTCTTTTATCTGTGCTTCACATATACGCGCAACACAAGTGTGTGACAATATGTATGGCTTTTTGATCCGATGAACTAGTCAGCAGAAAAATACAAAGGGTAATCTGGAGTTGGTCGTTACAAAACCTGTTGCGTCTGTATTATACACGTTGTCAATATCAAACGCCGGACAACGCTAGTCGCAAGGTGACAACGCAAACCAATATTGTGGAGATAACCACAAAAAATTCTAACTGTGGTACAGAAACAGGTTACGGAGATGGAGGCGAAAGTGATTATCAGGCGTGCGAACAGTCCGTATTCCTCACCAGTATTGCAGATGAGAAAAGCGGACGGACCTATCGATCTGTCTTGATTTCAGGGAACCAAACAAAGTGACGGTGAGTGTTGCGTTCTCCATGTCAAAGATGGAGGCAAGTTTTGCCAGTCTTCATAATGCGAAGTGGATCTCGTTGTTTGACCTCCGCACAGGATATTGGTAGCTACCCATAGCAGAAGTGGATCACCACAAAATAGCTTCCAATGTGAACGGTCAGCAGTACGAAAATTGTTGATGTTTTTTGAACTGTGTAACGCCCCGGCCACGTTCTGACGACTGCCACTAGTGATACTGGAGAACCTCCAGCGTGTGTTGGTTTGCGGAGACGCCATTGTTATATTCGCCACGACAGGAGACCAGCATAATAGTAGACTCGCGGACGTACTGCAGCAACTGGAGGAAGCCGGGTTGAAACTGAGCCGCAAAAAATCACAAATGTCCCAGAAGGCGGTTGTGTGATTTAGTCACATCGTGGGAAACGGTTAAATACAGTCAGTGCCAGAGAAACTGGAGATGATCCAGAATTTACCGATCCCGAAGTGCAAACGTCAGATTTGTTCCTTCCTCGGAGTAGTGGAATATGATTCGAAGTTCGTCCCCCGTTCTGCGGAAAGCATCAAACCATTATTGAAGCTGCTACACAAAGACTAGCCGTTCGTGTAAACAATCGAAGCAGAGGAGGCTTTCAATCACATAAAGGCACACGTGGCAGATTTCCCAAATTGCTTACGGATACTCAGTTCAGAGGAGAAGTTCACGGTGACAGTCAGTGCTCGCAACATCGCCATCGGTGCAGTATTGTCCTAGCCATCGGGTGTAGTAGAAAATGTCAGTAGAGTGCTGACGAGTGGGGAACAGAAATACTCCACGACGGAGAAGAAATGCCTTGCTATCGTTTGGGCCTTGGATAAGTGGAGAACCTACCACTTGGCGATTGGATTCCCCGTTAAGATGGACCACAAACCGCTGTCATGGTTGATGACAACGAAAGATTCGCGAGGACGTCTTGCGCGATAGGCATTTAAAGTCCAAGAATTTACCTTCACCATTGGGCACGTAGACGGAACACAGAACGTGACATGCCATTGTGATAGTCGTTGGACGACATCATACCAGACAGAGCGATACCGGTGTGTGCAGTCAAAGAAGAGGAGAGCAACCTACTCGGAATACAAAGGAAGAACGAACGGGTGAAATCGCTGGGCAGTCATTTACAAATGGGCCCCAAGCCAGATACAACATCGGATAACGCGAACGAACTCGTTAAGATCTGAGACCATCTGTACCCAGTAAATGGCAATTTGCTATTGGCAACAAATAGAAGGGAACTGATCTTATCAGATCAATGGAAACGGGTAATTCAAATGGTTCATGAGGATGTGCACATGTGATGTGCGATTTATGACTTGCTACTGAGAAGAGAATTTTGACCAAACATGAGGAGGGACGTAGCAGCATGTATTCTTAGGTACCTAAACTTTCAAAATAGCCGAGTTGCGGATGGACTTAAAGCGTCAATGCAATGCGTTGAAGTTACCAAAGCACTACAGTGGTGGGGCTGGGTGTATTTGGACCGTTGCGGATGAGCCGACGAGTTAACACTCACATCCTCGTGATGATTAATCATTTGGCCCTATGGGTCGAGGCCAAATCTATTAAAGCCCAGACAGGCGAAACCGTTGCAGAGAAGTTCAACTTTAAGGTACCGGCGTGGTATGCAATTCCGCCTTGCGTTGTAACTGACCAAGGTCCGTGCTTTGAGTCAAGGAGTTCCAAGCAGTATTACCGAAATGGGGCATCCAAAGACAGCGCGCTTCACCGTATCACCCTCAAACCAATGGGATGGCAAAACCATTTAACCGGGAGATTATGACATTGTTGAACTGCACAAAGTTGACATGGGAACAGCCACCGCTCGAAAGGCTATTCGTTTATCAAACCAGCACGCAGTCAAGCATCATGGTTTCGCCCATCGAATTTCAGTTTGAGAGAAAACCGAGGATTGCACTTGATACTTAGTTGGCGATGGATCGCGGGTGGGAGCATCCAGCAGCGCAGCATGGGGGACTACAAATAACCGACAACTAGGGAATAAATGAAAATATGACGGACGACATTCGACGTACAAATGGAGAGCATTCAATTTAAGAGACCCAGCAAGACTACGCAATACTTATTCACCAGCATATAGAGGACGAAATGTGAGCAACTTTTACCAACCGTGGAAAGTTACCTATACCATAATCTACAGGAAAGGAGTGAAGTTCAGAATTGACGATGGGATGGCGAAACGTTGGTTGAATACAGCTCTCCTACGACCATGGTATACGAGAGAAGCACATCTTCGAGGAGGGTCAAGGGTAGTGGCACGGAAGGCAAGCATCACTGGCAGAAAGGACAAATCGCAAAAGCTAAGGAAGATCAGAAGTAAAGAGGACACGGGGGACGAAAAGCGACGAAGCCGCTTGAGAGCTTCGGGACAAGCCGGCAATGAACAATGAACGACCAACGATGTCAGGCCCAGGCCGAGAAGAAAGGAGGCCATATTTGTGAACAGCCCGAATTTCCTGAGAAATACGCGCTTGGTCGCGCCTCCAGGAATAACCACGAAGAGAGCGACGCAACCCCAATTAAGCAAGTCAAGAGCAGTAGAACGGATCCAGCCCCGTCAGAATAGGACGTGTGGAAGCGAATATACGTGGGCAAATCGGCGAGCAGCGACTTCGCTGACGGGCTGAAGTTGGGGCATGAACGTGACGCCGAGCGAAAGTACAATGTGTAGTGAGTGGTGGTCGGGACATGTCCTCTGTACGTGCGTGATTGCGTGCTAACCTGTGAACCTCTTGTGCGTTTGGCAATAAATATTGTGCACCCCTACCGTCGTTCTT